CCTAGCACAGTGAAGCCGTTCTACTTACTCAAGGACTAGCAGAGCTGTTTTGTATATCCCAGGGCAGCGTCCTCACTTGAAGAACTGTGATTCTGGCAAGTGTACCTGAGCACGCGGGCCCTGAAAGCCAGCCCTGCACACTGTCTCACCTTGTGACACACACAAACCTTTATTACACAGGCACTAGGCAAAACCCAGGGCACAGTCAAATGTTAGTCCTTCTCTAAAGCGGGAGGACAATGACCTACTGGATGAGCCCCAAAGATCGCAAGGCTTCAGGAAGGCAAGAAATCCAATCCTCATTCTCTACTCTTTCAAGGGAACCAACCATACACTGACATCACTAGTACCTGGGATCACACGCTAAGAAGTTAAAACCTATCTAGGCTTTACAGCTCCCAAGGACTGGGAAAATACAGGGAAGCAATAAAGCCGCTAGATTAACATGCAAGACGGAGGTAGGCAAGCAGTTTCTCTGAAGTTCAAGATTGTAAACATTTTAGGCTAGGAGATAATATAGAGGGTATTTCATAGGTAGTTACAAATTAAGAGAAAAAATAAATTTTTACTGATGCAATGAAACAAAAGCTACAGCTATAACTAAGTAATTTTTTTTTTTGCTACATATGATGCTATTTCCAAAATGTTGTAAACTATACAAGCTTATTTCAGTGTCAAAAATTTTATACTATGTACAAAATTCATAAGAAAAATGATGCATGGATTTTAACATTACTTTTGAGAGAAAATAAAGTCATAGTTAAACATGTTTTTATTTGAAAGAGAGAAATATAAAGAGAGGGAGGGCGGGAGCTCAATCTTCCGTGCACTGGATTGCTCACTAGAGGGCTGAAGAGTCTACGCTGGAGTTCCATTCAGCATCCCAGGACAGTGGTGGGAACCCAAGGACTTAGGTCGCATATTCTGGCTCCCAGGCACATTAGCAGGCAGGTGGATTGGAATCAGAGGTGGGGCTGAATTCTAAGCACTAGAATATGGGATGTAGTTGTCCCAAATGTCAGCTTTATTTGCTATGCCACAATGCCTGTCCCTAAGTCATACTTTTAAAATCCATTTTCCATGAACAGGATGCTATTTAAGGCGGTGGACAGACGAGGGTATCAATAACTCGTGTGGGAGTCCAAGTTCTTATTTACCACTAAATTCATTGCAAATATTTACTGAGTCCTGAGGGCTACTTTGCAAAAACTGTTCTAGGATATTAAGGCAACATATATTTTTGCTTCATTCACAAAACTGTAAATCTATGAAGACAAGCACTCTTAAGTCACTGGTTAAGGTAGTAAGAAGAACAATAACCCTAACCTTGACCGTAACCAGAACACTAACACTAACCCTAACTCAAATAACTTGAGTTCCTACTGTCATGTACCGCGTGGTCTTGAACAAATCACTTAACCTCACTTTCTTTTGAAGCTCTCAGGGTAATGCAAATAGAGTATTTGAAAACAATTTGTCTCTCTTGCACACTAGAATACTGAGAGATCCTCAAGGTGAAGCGTGTCTCTTTACTGGTTACTGACAAATCAGCAATGGCACCCAAACGACAAGTGTGGGGGCTGGCAGGATGGCTCACAGGCTAATCCTCTTCCCTGTGGTGTTGGCCTCCAGTTTGGGTACTGGTTTGTGTCCCAGATGCTCCATTTCTGAACCAGTTCTCTGCTTATGGCCTGGGAAATCAACAGGGGATGGACCAAGACACTGGGCCCTGGACCCAGATGGGGGATCAGGAGGATGCTCATTAGTGAAGTGAACCAATGGGTGGAAGACTTTCTTTACCTTTCTTTCTCTCTGTAAATCTGCCTTTCAAATAAAAATGGTATGTCTTAAAAGCAGATAAGTAAATGCTGATTGGAGTTCACAATTTGTTCACACAGTACTTAGATAATTTTTTTAAAGATTTATTTGTTTATTGGAAAGTCAGATATACAGAGAGGAGGAGAGACAGAGAGGAAGATCTTCCTTCCAATGATTCACTCCCCAAGTGACCACAAGGGCCGATGCTATATGCTGATCCGAACCAGGAGCCAGGAACTTCTTCCGGGTCTCCCACAGGGGTGCAGGGTCCCAAGGCTTTGGGCCGTCCTCGACTGCTTTCCCAGGTCACAAGCAGGGAGCTGGATGGGAAGTGGAGCTGCCGGGATCAGAACCGGCGCCCATATTGGATTGCGACGCGTTCAAGGTGAGGACTTCAGCTGCTAGGCCATGCTGCCAGGCTCCAAGTACTTAGATAATTCTAATATCTTATTAAATTCATTCAAAAAATGCTTATTTGTTTTCCTCTTTAAAAAAATCACTAATTCCTCACTTGGTTATTGTTTTTTAGAACATAAAAAAATGCAGCTTAAGCACAGCATCAGTACTCACCTTGCATCCACCAGGATCCCACTTGAGTGCAGGTTCTAACCCTGGTGGCCCTGCTTCCCATCCAGCTCCCTGCTTGTGGCATAGGAAAGCAGTAGAGGACGTCCCAAAGCCTTGGGACCCGACACCCGCATGAGAGACCCCAAAAAAGCTGCTGGCTCCTGGATTCAGATTGGCTCAGCTCTGGCCTTTGTAGGTACTTGGGGAGTAAATCAGCGAATGTAAGATTTCTCTCTCTGTATCTCTGCCTTTCCAATAAAAATAAATCTTAAAAAGAGAAACACAGCTATGAAACACCTAAGTTAGAAATTTTCACTTGATAATTTTAAATCAATATTCTAAATATTCCTGCTATCACCTAACAAAGTTCAGATGATTATTGTTTTGTTAAGAAAAAAATACATTACAGACAATAATGTATGGTTTTTATTAATGTTTCTGCAGAGCAGGTGCTATGGTAAATAATTACCTGTTCAAATAAATGTGACCTATGCTGTGTATTGTCATGGAATTTCACAAGGCAAATTAGCATATTAGAGGCTCTAAGCTGTAAGAAATTCTGTGTGGCTATCTTTTTTGTTTTTTTTTAATCCAGCATTCCTAAATCTATTTGCTCATGGAATCTTCCTTCAGTTAATATTTATTGTTCAAAAGAATGAATGTTAAAAATATGAATTACAGGTCCCAGCATGGTAGCTTAGTAGCTAAAGTCCTCGCCTTGTATATGCTAGGATCCCATATGGGCACAGGTTCTAATCCCGGGAACCCCGCTTCCCATCCAGCTCTGCTTGTGGCCTGGGAAAGCAGTGGAGGATGGCCCAAAGCCTTGGGACCCTGCACCCGCGTGCGAGACCCGGAGGAAGTTCCTGGCTCCTGGTTTTGGATCAGCTCAGCTCTAGCCGTTGTGGTCACTTGGGGAGTGAGCAACCTCCTCTCTGTCTCTCCTCCTCTTTGTATATCTGAGTTTCCAATAAAAACAAATAAACCTGCAAAAAATGACTTACAAATATTTACAGCCCTAAACCTCTATTTTTTCAAACCTAATTTTTAGTTTGTTTGTGTTTTTTAAACTTGAAAGATAGAGCAACAGAGAGAGAGAATGACAGAGAGAGAGAAATTGAGCATGTTTTCATCCACTGGTTTGCTTTCCAAATGCATAGAATACTTGGAGCTGGGCTGTGCAAACACTTGCACTGCACTCCTAAGACAGGAATTACAGACAACACACACATGTTGATGAGCACACCTTTTCTCAGGCCACATGATAAACATGGCTTTGGTTCACTAACAGTACTTAACATTATGGCAAGGAGAAACAGGACACATATTTTCTTACTGGATAGTTCAGATCAAATGAAATAATGTACATTAAAATAATGCTCTGTAACTATTACAAACAAGTAATAGCAAACAACAGAAATTATCTAACTTCCGAGGTCTTGTACTAAGTTTAAACTATTAATTATAATTGAATTTAGCTTCTGCTTTTGCCCAGCAACATGCCAGGTATCTTCCCTTCGTTATCACTTATTTGCTCTCATGTCCTATTAATATCTATTAATTTATTACTTTCATTACAGTCTCTGATTTATTTTAATACTATAAAAGCATATTGTGACTTAAGAAATGTTACTGTGGACAGCTAAGCAAAATTCAATTATGTGTCTACTGGTGTGATCTTTCTGGGTTCTTAAATGTGTTTCAATCTCTCTTTAGAGTTTCCTTCGCGAAGTGTCACAGTAATCATGCTGGCTTCTAGAAAAACATCTCCCATCTCTCATGGGTGGCTCCAGGCGGTGAAACTCCACCCTAAGAACTAGCTGTGTTATGGTAAGCAGATGTTACAGATTGAGCTGTGCTACCCCAACATTCATATGTTCAAGCCTTAATCCTCATTACCTCCGAATGAAAATACTTCCTGTAGACAGGAATACTGCCCATGGAATTATTTAGGATGAAAGAGTGCCAAGTGGGGTGCTGTAGGGGACTGCTACCCTTGTAAATGGGGAGCACTCCGACCCAGCAAAGGCGCACGGGGAACACCACGGGAACATGGAGACAGCGGGTAGAGTGTACGGCCGTAAGACAAGGTGTGCCGGGTTGGTGCAAAACCCCAGGGGCTGGCCAAGAGGCAGAGCCTGTTCCTTTCCCTAACACCTTCCGAGGGAGCACGGGCCCTGAGACTGCAGCTGCCAGAGCGTGAGACGGGACAGTCCCCTGAGTGGTCCTGGAGCCTGTCACAGCTGCCCTAACAAAATGAAGGCACAAAAGGAGGTCTTGGATGGCTGCTGGTTAGCTTCCTACCTACTCAAATCTTTAAAGATGCTCATTTTTGGTTCTCTAATTCTTAATTTTAGAGTGCATGGGACATAGCTGTAAAATTTTATTTTTACATTGCTTAGAAGCAACTCATCGTTTCATGACTACTAGTTGATTCTGCTAATGTTTAATTGTACATTTGAAAGATCGATTTAAGCACTATAGATACACATGAAGAGATCAAAACCCACAAATGGTTCCCAGGAGGCTCAGCGATTCAGACATCTGCCCAAACATTCCTTCACATCTCCTTACACTCCAAGTTCCAAAACACTTACCAAAAACAGGACACTTACCTTTGGTTTCTAAACTTTGAAGAGTAGACATTTTTTCTTTTTAACAATAGAACGCACTCCACAGCTTGTATTTATAAACCTAGGAACACACACAGATGAAAGAATGAATGCGGTGTCACTGTCAATCTATGCAATGCCTTCTTCAGTTTTACATATTTTACAAACAAAGACCTAAGATCAGCAGGAGTACAGACAGAGGCTGTGGGTAATATCTGAATAGAAAATGGACAACTTCACGCATACACAGTAAATTATCAAGTAATCACAGGCTGAGTTAAAAACTTTTTTGGATCTGTACTTAATGCACACATTTTAAAAAGGAGGTGCAGCTTATATTCCCTCCTCTGACTATCTGGTTTGCTTTTAAATATTATTTCACTATTGTCATCAGTATCCTCTTAATGGTGAGAAGCGCGTCCTGAATTTCATCTCAGAAACACCACTGAAAGTCACGGCAGGGCTTTTTGTTTGTTTGTTTGTTTGTTTTTTAATAACTGATAGGACCACAGTAACTGTAAAGTAACTAATTTCTCAAGAAAAACACTGAAACAATTTACATTCCATAAAGGTAAATTACATTTAGATGATAAACAGCAAAAACAGAAATCGATAACTTTATTTGTAAAAATCTGTATGTATGAACTCCATGAAATTTTTCGACCTTAAATTAAAAAAAAAAAAAAGTTCCAAAATAGCCAGAAAATGATTTGGGGGGACGGGTAATAAAAATAAAAGGCATAGCTTTTAAGAGTAAAAAGTGAGATATACATTGTAGGAAAGCTTTCAGAAGTGTATGCAGGCTCGCAGTGTAGACTCTAATATTCCAGAAGAACAAAGCTACCTCATGAAGGTGCTGAACTGGCCTGGCTCCTCAGTAAGGCACATTATGCAATGACCAGCTTCCTGTGCAGTCACCCTCTCCTCCTCCCACTTGGCAGGTATTGCTGTAGAAACAGGTCTCCACTGAGCATACCTGAGAGCCACGCAGGGTGGTGCAGGTGCATCCAGCGCCTGCGGGCCAGCCCCAAGCATAGGGCTGGGAGGCCAAAGCACTGGGCTGGAGCAGCCACAGGGGAGCCATGGGAACCCCGCACCCTCACTAGGCGGTCCCGAGATCAGCTGAGGGTGGGAGGCTGTGGAAGCAGGGATGGAGCCGCAGTGGTGGGCGTGGGAACCACGCACCCTCAGCTTGGTGGTCCCGGGATCAACTGAGGATGGGAGTCCAAGAGACCCGGGATGGAATTGCCTCCGGGAACGTGCGAACCCCGCAACCTCAGCTCAGCAGTCCTGGGATCAGCTGAGGGTGGGAGACAGTGGAACCCTGCATGGAGCCGCCGCGAGGGGCGTGGGGACCCCGCACTCTCAGCTCGGCGGTCCGGGATTCGAACCCGTGGCCCGTGCCGGTCAGGAGCCGCAGTGCCGGAACAGTCCTCCCTGAAGCCCAGCCCCGACGCGGACCCCCGTCCCGTCCCACCGGCCTGCTGTCAGGTTTACCTCCGAGACTTGTTTCCTATACCCCGTCGGTGCCACTTTCCACCCTGAAGCCGACCCACCCAGGCCTTCCGGACACATCACTTCCGATGGCTCACGGTTTCCTTTCCGGAACACACAGGCTGCCCCAGTGCGTACACAATCTCCCCGCAGACCACATCGCGAGACGCCTCAGCCACGGAAGACTGAGCGGGTACTTACTTCAAAATGAATGGAGGCGAACTCAGGAGCCTGGCGACGCCCCTACACCGCCGGCCCCGGCTTAGCTCACACTTCCGGGTACCCGTCCCGCAGGCGGAAGTGAGGATGCTGACAGGGGGCTGACGGCATCCCGTTGCCCCGGGCGACCGCGTCACGTTGAGGACCTGTCAGGGAGATGGGCATCACGGCGAGTCCTCCCAAGCACTAGGCACCCAGGGGCGGGCCCGGGGTGCGGCGGTGGGCGGGACTCCGTTGCCAGAGTAACCGGATGTTGATGGTGGCGTCTTCCTGCCGCGAAGCTGTTTCCCGGAGCTGAGATCTCGCAGCCATGGTGAGTGCTGAGAGAGGCCCTGGAGCTTCTCGGCTGCCCTGGAACATCCTCGGGACGCTTCCTTCCTTCTCCCCCGTTCCTATGGGTCGTCGCCGTGGCATTGCCTTCCCTTCCCCAGTCCTATGGGCCGTCCCTGCAGCACACTGAATTCCACTTCAATATAAACATGAATTTTTTACAGTCATGCTCAGAAAGTTTAGGGTTAACACGGGCAGTGCAAAACAGAGCAACATCCTTGTTTCAGATCCCACCCCCCCTTTTTTTTAAAGCCACTCAGTTGAACTAGCTGTCTTCCGTTAATGCATGACCTTCTAGGTCTGTGGTTAGAAGCACTTGAGAGTTCCTGGGATTCGTGTGCTTGCCCCTGACTCCTAGATATTTTGCGTGAATAAAAATGGAGCTCAGTATCCACGTATAGTCAGCACATACGTGATTTTTCTTCATCCACGTGTTTGAGAACGCCAAAGTTCTAGTGGACTAAGAGAACCATGGGAAATGACTTGGTGCTTGGAAAGGTTACTGTTCCTGGGATGTATCTGTAAGTTTCTCATCATTATTGCATCACCGCAGCTTGCTTCCCCATTACTGCTCAGCATTCTTTTTTGTAACCCAGGCATGCTCTTCCATACCCATGGCCTGTGGAGAGGTCTACAGGCCTTCACTTGAAGGACCCCATTTGCAGAAATCATTTCCAAGCTGACCACTGAGTCCTACCAGGTTGTTTGGTTTCCCACCTCAGCCTACACTTCAGTCTGTCGTTTTCACCTGTTGTTTAGTTTTGCATTTCACGATTAGAGACAGAGGTGCTGCAGGACAAGCTGTCGACCTTCGCAGATGCACTCATTTGCTCCCATCTATTAGAAGGCATTTGATTTCCAAGTATTATCTTCTGTTTGTGCTTTCGGCCACTTCCTGTCCAGTTTCTGCTCTTCAGTGTTCTAGTCATAGGTCTTATGAGAATGAAATAAAAACAAAAGCACCTCCCTTATGTTGTGGGTTCCCCCCCTACCAAGTGGTTGCTCAAATGCCCCTATCATTAAGCTGCTTGAAAGCATAGTATTTGCTTCAGCTTCTGCCCCTTCTCTTTGATTTTCAAGAATCCTTTGGTCCCTTTCCTAATGGTGTGGAGATGAAGTTGTCCTTGCCTTTGTTCTACTGGCCTGTTGAAGGCCAGTCACTAACTGCGCATGCCATTGTATTTTATTCAGCCTGGCTGTGGTAACTCTAGTCCATGACCATTCATTGCTGTCTTTGGCAGTGGCATGGCCTGTGTTGTCAATGCCATTCTGTGGGGTTCACATCTCACTTTTACTTCCTAGCCTGTATGTTCTCCTTGGATGATCTGTCCACACACGTGGATTCTACTGATGCTTAAGATCTACTCTTAAATTCTGTGTCTCATATCAGACTTACTAAGGTCTGGCTCACTTGCTTGCTGGATGCTTCTACCTGGGTGCTTTAAAGACCCCTCAGTCTCAGTACGAAACAAGCAAACTTGCTGTTTTTCTTCCTTGGTTTCTCCTATTTTTTTTTTTTCATCCAGTTATTTGATGACACTACTGCAGTACAACTCAAACTAGAAATCAGAGTCATCCTACATTCTTTAATATGCTTTGTTGTAGAGTGCGAGAGAGATCACACTGGTCCCACGTGTAGGGTTTAAGGAGAAATCTTTATTGTCCAAGCTTGGAGACAGCAGCTCCCTTTACACTCCAGGAGCCACTGCAGCAAGACCAAAAGTCAGGGTTCTAAAGCTGTCATCCTCTAATCATTGAAAGCCTTACAGGTGCAGGAGGCACGAAGGGAGCTAGATACCAGAGCCCAAAGTTTTCCTGTAGTTACCCTAACGTAGTACAATACAAGGCTGGAGGAGCCAGGTGTGCAGAGCCTCTGGAGTCATTTCTGTGGTGTCAGTTGTTCTGAATAGTGCAGAAGGCAGGAGCGGTGCGGCATACACAAGGAGACTCTGGAGCTATTTTCACACCTTCAATTAACTTGGATGGTGCCAGAGGAGGTAGAAAGGGCTGTTCCCTGTGAACTAACCAGGGTGCTAGCCATCAAGGGCTGCACTCCATCACACCTTCTGCCTATGTCACCTGTATTCCATTGGTCATTAGACGCTATTTTTGCTTAAAATTTCTTCATGTTTGCCTTGGCTATTTTTTTAAAAAAGATTTATTTATTTTTATTACAAAGTCAGATATACAGAGAGGAGGAGGAGAGAGAGGAAGATCTTCCTTCCGATGATTCACTCCCCAAGTGACCACAATGGCCAGTGTGTGCTGATCTGAACCAGGAGCCAGGAACTTCTTTCCGGGTCTCCCATGTGGGTGCAGGATCCCAAAGCATTGGGCCGTCCTTGACTGCTTTCCCAGGCCACAAGCAGGGAGCTGGATGGGAAGTGGGGCTGCTGGGATTAGAACCGGCGCCCATATGGGATCCTGGTACGTTCAAGGTGAGGACTTTAGCCACTAGGCCACTCCACCGGGCCCTGCCTTAGCTATTATATTAGTATCTTTTACAGTCTGGTTGGGAAATTCTCTAGTTTATTATTTTCTCTGCGACCAGAAAGAAACTGCTAAATTGCTTCTGTTAATTCCACTCACCTCTTTGGAAGTCTTGACTTTCCATTTCCTTCAGTCAAGCGTAGACTGGCACACAAGAGACCCTCCATGTCCAGCACTTGCCCTTCTAGCTTTTCTCTCACCCTTCCTAGACACTCATTTTTGCCTCTTTCTTTTTAGCTAGTTACTACCGAACACACCCAACAACTTCAAACTGGTACTAACTCTCTTCTCTCTGCTTGGTCCGTGCTATTGCTTTTCCCATTAGTCTTTCTTTGCCTATTAAATTTCTAGTGATCCATCTAAGATCTGGGTTAAGTGTCAATCATGCCTTTTCCTCCACCCAAGCAGGAGTAAATATTCTTTCTTGTTGTCACTGTCTACTTCTCTGATTGTATATGACATATTTAGTTGGAATTATTTGGTTATAGATTTTTCACTCTTACCAAACCGTGAACTGTTGAGGAATGGAAGTTTGCTGTGTTCACTGCTATTGCCTACAGGAGATTAGACACTCAAATATTTGCTGAATGTATGAGAAAATATGGAAAGATGGGGCAGGTGGTCTGCAGGAGACGGAGACTGGAATCAGAATTCTTACTTTTCTCCCAGGGCACCAGGAAAGCCATTATGAGGCAAGTGGAAGATGGTGTCATTGGCCTGTGCAGTGACATGGGGGATGGAAAGTGACGTTTGCTAAATACTGTTGTTGTTGTTTTCCACTGCCTGCTGCATTTTGGTTTGTTTATTGTCACACAGACTTACCAATGATACTGATAGCAAAAAAAAAAAAAAGCCAGTAAACTTCTCTTCCTGCTCTCATTTTCTCCAAGAAGACTGGAGCTTTGGGGTTGATGATTCTTCCAATTAGGGGCCCAGTGCAGGTCGTTCTGAAGAAGGAACTTTGCTTTGGAGACCTGAAAGATACTTGTCTCTTCATCTGGATCTTGAACTAACAAGATCTTAGTTTCTCAAGCAGAAAGGAAACAGGAGGGGAAAAAATAAGAGCTTATTATTTCATGGAATCAAAAGAAACAAATTGAGTGGTGAAGTGCATGCTTAGCTACACTGGGAGATACCTGAAGCAGAAGAGCATGAGATGCAGTTTGAGAGGTTAATGGAGGCCAACTTGTCTGCTTTTCATCTGTGTGTCTGCTAGCAGCCTGTATTACTCAAGTTGTGGTTTTGCCTTATTATTCTATTATTAAATGGATTGGTGCTATGTAGCCACATTTAAAAAGAGAGCTTAAGATAGAAACTTACAGTACTTACTGCACATGGTAAGGGTATCTTTTATGATCTTTTTTTTTATTATTTTTTAAAGATTTATTTTTATTATTTTTTCATTGGAAAGGCGGATATATAGAGAGGAGAGACAGAGAGGAAGCTCTTCCGTCCGATGATTCACTCACCAAGTGAGCGCAACGGCCGATGCTATGCCAATCTGAAGCCAGGAGCCTCTTCCGAGTCTCCCACAGGGTGCAGGGTCCCAAAGCTTTGGGCCGTCTTGACTGCTTTCCCGGGCCACAGGCAGGGAGCTGGAAGGGAAGCGGGGCTGCCGGGATAGAACCGGTGCCCATATGGGATCCTGGGGCGTGCAAGGCGAGGACCTTAACCACTTGTGTCACTGCGCCGAGCCCGATCTTTTATTTTTTAATTGTGTATATTTTTGAACATTTACATGAGAAGGCGATGTTTTTAAAATCTCAAGCATGCAGATTCACCTTTCTTTTATTTTTCATCTAATGACAGCATTCTTACTGTGTGAAAACAACAACAACAACAAAAACTTCTGAATGTATCAAAAACCTTTAATGGGCTAGAGTAAAATGTTCTTGTTTGTCTATGTATCCACCTCTCTCCGGTGCCATTTGATGTCCGTCCTTTATCAGAAGGCCATGGCACACTGTGTGCTGGCTAGCTTCTGATGCTTGTGTCACAGCAATGGTGGCTGGTCTCTCCGTCAGCAGCTGAGGGTGGAG